AAAAAAAAAAAAAAAAATAATAATAATAATAATAATATAATAATAATAAAATAAAATAAAAAAAGCTTATTGGCTTATTATTGGGAATACTTTAATAAGACGGCATCGCGGCATCGGATAATAATTTTCTGATTCGTTTGTCAATCAAAAGAACAAGAAAATTGAAAATGAGAAAGGAATAAATAATTATTATGGTAAGTTTATTAAATAAGATTAAATAAGATTAAATAAGCATTCTCCAATAATCTTGCAGGAAATTTATTATTTGCTGATCAAAAATAGTTTCTCAAAGGGATCATCAAACCTTGGATGATGCAAATGTTGCAAATGATGCAAATGATGCAAATGATTCAAATGATTCAAATGATTTAAATGATTCAAATGATTCAAATTATTCAAAATGATGCAAATACCGCATAATACCGTAAAATACCGTAAAATACTATAACCCACTACAAATATACTACAAATATACTCCAAATATACTACAAATATACCTAAGACTTTTTTGTTACCAAAGTTAAGATTTATAGTATTTCTATTCCTTTTTTATTATTTGATAAAAACATTCTCAACGAATCATTGCCATAAAAAGATAGACGCGAAAGCGTGCGTGTAAAAAGGAGAAGAGGGGCAGCATTTATTAATTATATATTATGCGTATATTATAATATAAATTATAATATATTTGGTGTGTATTTATGTGTATGTGTTTGATGCGTGTATGTGCGTAAAAATAATTTCTTTATTCGTTTTCGCGATTCTTCCGATTAAACAAAAAAAAAAAAAAAAAACAAATATAAAAACTTTATCATTCATTTTACTTTAAAAGAAAATATTTTCGGTTTCGGGTTTCGGGATTTCGGATTTCTTTGATGTTGATTGATGATGATTGATATGATTAATAATAATAATAATAATAATAATAGTTCGTTGTTGTTGTTGTTTGATTGATAATATTGTTTGATGACTTTCGTTGTTTATGAATATTACGAATCAATTTTTTTTTTATTACATATTACACGTTCCATTTTTTCTATGATCCCAAAGATAAGGAGTGATCTTGTAAAAACCGGTAATTAGAAGCCACTTGGCGTACATTTTTTCGCGCGATTAACATATGCGTACCCGCAGTTTTTTCGTCAAAGAAGGATAAGCCAGCCACACAACATAAGGATGTTATATGTGATTCGCGTGGAATGTTTATGTTTCGGGATAAAAAAAGTATGCATCAAGGTTGACATCAAGTACGTCATGCTTTTCCCTTTTTTTGATTTTAATATGTCCTTTAATATCAAATATAAACAAGTTAATAAACCAAAAAGTCAGGAGGCTTTTTACTATAATTAAATAATTTTATCACATTATTTACATTTACGATAGTAATTAACGCAGTAAAGATTGTAAGAGAGTAGGACTTGTCAACGGTCAACTGCAATGGGGAAGTATGAGGATAAAGTATGATAAAGTATGTAAAATTATGTAAAGGTAGTAAAAAGTATGTAAAAGTATAAAAAGTATAGTATTATAGTATGATAAAGTTTCCTCCAATCAACTTTTTTTTTTAAATTTTTTTTTTTTTTTTTTTTTTTTTTTTTTTTTTTTTTTTTTCAATTAAAATTAAATACATAAATCAGCATAATAAAGAATTAAAGATTAAACAAAAAAGAAAAGTCCGGATTAAACTAATATTACAATTTATTACCAATAAAAGAAAAATGTCATACCAAAAGATAAACTTAACTTTGCCACTTAAAAAAAGAAAATGATGTTTCTCCGTCATAGGTTACATAAATGTTTTACAGGAAAAATATAAATAAACATATATATGTATAAATTACGTATATATATAAATGTAAATATGTGTGTATGTTGTTATGTGTGTGTATGTGTTATGTGGATGTTTTATGGTGTTGTTATATGTATATATATATATATATATAATATATATATATATAAAATAGATTTCCTCGGAAAATCGGCGTAAACTTGTTTTAATTCCTGTTTCATCCAATTCATTTTAAATAAAGATTAAGAAGAAGAGAAAGAATATGTGGTTTTTGTGTTTGCATGGATAAAAACAATTGATATGACAATTTACCATTTGTGTATAATCAAATAAATATAATTTATAATAATTTTTTGAAAATTTATTACCATAATTAAGTTTTTACTTTAATAATTTACTTTTACGAGTTAAATGAGTTTAAAATTATAATTTATTGAGTTTTTATTTATAATTTGCATACATATATAT